TATTTTTGGTGTTGCTGTCATGTTAAATCTTACCATGAAATTAGGAGGTCCTCACTTTTGGTATACAAATATTTATAAGGCTTTATCACTTTCAGATGAGGAATTTGCTACACTTGCAGATGCAAAAGCCTCAATTAAAATAAATGCTCAAACAATTTAGAATGCTTATCAACTTGCCTTAGATCATGCTTGACCAAATGTTCCAACTCCTACTTCGTCTAGTTCGCAATCATCTAAAAGAACTGCGGGCCTAAAAGCACTTAGTTCTTGGACGGAGTTCAGAGGTTCTCAAGGTGATAATATTGGTGATAGTTCACAACTAAATGAGCTTCAAGTTTATTTGTCGCAGGGACTTGAATAAGAGAATCCCGACGGCTCCTTTGATGTTTTGGAATAGTGGAAGGACAAAGAAAAATACTATCCGGTTCTTTTAAGGACAGCTCGAGATATTTTAAGTATTCAAGCTTCAACAGTGGCATCGGAGAGCACTTTCAGTCAAGCGAGACTTCAAATCGGTGATCATAAAGCGTCTATGAGGGAGAGCTTGGAAAAATCAGTACTCTTAAGAGATTGGATCCGTTCAGAAAGAAGAAATTTTGGACTTGCTGAATCACAACCGGAGATAGACGAAGCAAATGAAGAAATGCTAGCGGAACTTGCGGAGGATGCTGTTTCGCCCGGAAGCGGTGATGAAGAAGCTTCTTTTCCACCACCACCAATGGAAATTCCTCCGAACCTTGAAGGATTTATGAAATTGGTTAGAGATAATACGTAGACTAATATGTAATTTGTATTTTGGCACATCTTCTTTAGTGTTTTTCCTTTTAATGGTGGTATTAGAACCTTGTTGTGCTCATTCCATTGGGGGGAGGAAGACTAAGAAAGATATTGTCATTTTTTGTTAATGTCGTAATAATAAAAATTATAAGTCATTCCCTTGAATATTTCTTTACAATTTTTTTGTGTTTAAATTTGAATTAGAAGATTTAAGTCACAATTATATAATATAATTTACAAGAAATTACATTAGATAAAAAAATCAAAAAAAATAGCCCGGAACACTTAGGCTCGGCCCATTTAGCCCGGGACCATGTGGGCTTAGGCCCACAGTGAGCCGATTCCACCCTCTAGGACCGTTAAGCCCGTGACCACTTGGGCCCGGTCCGTCAGAGCCCGGGACCGTTTGGACCGGCCCGTTTAGCCCATTTAGGCCCGGGGTCGGACCACAATACAGCTGTATCCCCACCCCCATTTTAATTTTTGATTTTTCTCCATTTCTTCTCTCAATATTTTTCTTCTACATGTACCCAATAAGAGCTTTTCTTTATCTTTAACATAAAGCCTAAACATTTCAAGTGGGCTTCTCCCATAATTATTACATGTATTTTTCTTCAACTCTAATTTTTAATTGAGTGGTTATTAAAAGGAAAATTTTGTCCAAAATTTTTGAAGAAAAGATGAATCAGATTCAAGATCTTGAGAAATAATTCTTAAACGATAACGATAAATTAGGGTGCAAATCACTTGCAGGTGGTGGCGGTGGAAATTACTGAGACGACGGCGACGGTAACAGGTAGTGGCGGTGAAAATTGTTGAACCCGTCTCATCTGGGTTTCTTCACCAATTAAGCAAAATATTCTCCAATTTCAATACAAATTGGATCTTTAACAAATGGACATCATGATGATAAGCATTCAGATGAAGATGGAAAAGAAGATAAAGATAAGAAGGAAGAAAAAGATAGAAAGAAGAAAGACAAGGACGAAAAAACCAAGGAAAGTGATGGAAAAGATAAGATGAAGAAGAACAAGAAGGATAAAAAAGAAAAGAATCCATATGCCACGCCTCTTTTTTACCCGGGGGAGGGGGGGGGATATAAGGGAGTTGTTTCAATTAAAGTGACATAAATTGAAATCGGATTATTTTATTTATTTAGAGTCGCCGCTTGGAATAATTTATGGTGTCCCAAGTCACCGATTTATTAAAAATTCCAAATTGAGGAAAATCGACATTATTTAAAAGTCTGCGAAACCAGAAAAAAAGGTAAGGAATTTTGTTAACCCGGGAGAAGGTATTAGGCATTCCCGGGTTCCGTGGTTCTAGCACGGTCGCTTAACTATTAATAATTGGTCTAATTATATGATTTATTACATGTTTTAAACATATTTTGCATTTTTAACTTTATAACCGCTTTTAATTATTTATGGAGTTATTTTGGAACAAGTCACGATTGTCATACACTTGCCGCTTTGGAACACATTGCAAACCACGCTACATGAAATGCACCCGTGATTTGCGACATGTTTATTTTATTATTATTCAAAGTTGTTATGATCGGGTCACATGAAATGCACACCCGAATTTGGGAATTATGTATCATAACTATGTCACCGGAACCGTACCCATAGTCACAATGATTTATTATTGCGCCTAAAGCAAAACTACGATGTTTAGATTACTGAAAATATCCATGGAAGCATGTAGGGAATTTTAGTTACTTAGGGTAATCTAACATTAACTGTTATGGGCTTAAAATATGAGAAAATAGGCCCAACTGACCATTTGTTAAATTGGCCCAGCCGCAACTCTAAATTGATTGGGCCTGTCGTGGTTGTGTTTTTAGCAATAAAAGAATCGCTAATCAGACATTGTCCAAGCTCAATCTGATTCGCACAAGAGTAAGATCGCATCAGAAAAGTTATTGCATTCAAGTTTTCTGAGTTAACTATACTAATAGAATTTCTAACACCCTAAGTAAAATTAGCATTACATTAACTTCAGAAAATGAGTTCATAGTTGGGGATAAGTTATTGGGCCTGATACCCAGGCCCAACTACATGGGTCCAGACTTGTTCAGGTAATTCCCTAATTGGGTCAATTTACAAGTCTGGTCCAAAACAAAATCGCAGGGACAGAAGACTGGGCTTTAATGTCTAGCCCATAGCCTAACCCCTTCAATATCAGGCCATTACTCTAATCGCAGCAGTAATAAAAATTATTACTGATTTTTCCAACAGTAACAAAATTAATTACAACAAGTGAGTTCAAAACCTGTTTAATTACAATAGATAATACAAGGCATTCAAGCTCAGAATTTACATTAAAATCCTAAACATGTATAGCTTTCTACATGGGTACACTCTAAACTACAACTTGTTACAAACATTCCTGGAACAATTTTTGGCTTTGGGATTTACAAATTTGACCAATCGATGGTCAAATCCATCAACATTCGCTAGATCTGTGGCAACAAATTACTAAAAAAAATAGCATATTATAGAGTTGGCAAATCCTAAATCATACTTAATTAAAGGGACCTAGGAACAGAAGCTAACAGAAGCAATTCTAATTTTTTTTTAAAATTTTTATGCTTAGGTCAACAAATGTATTCAGAGAAGAGCCTAAATCAGTTCATTTGATTTAACAACCTCACATTAAGATAAGTGAACAAAATTGCACATTAGCCTAGTTAATGAGCCAACATAGCATGTGTTTTCAACTTAGAACTATGCAAAACAAATCAGATAGAATAAAGATGGACAATTTCAGTCTTATAAATATCAAGAACACATGAAACAAACCATAAGTACACTATTAACATGCTTGTTCTATATTTCCAGATTCAAAAAGGGTTAAAAGGAGATAATCTCACATACCTTCTATGAGAGATAATAAATGCCAAATAAAGGCAGAAATTCAGAAATGAATTCAGTAAACTCAAAACAACAGCAAATCAAATAGGTACAGCAACAATGAATGATCCCATAATAAGTTTCAAAATCTAATCCAAAATCATCTTCAAGAAGAAGCAGAAATGAAGAGAAAACAGAACTTCCTAGGGATTTTTAGGAACTATCTTTTTTGCTTTTCTATTAAGAATGCCAAAGAAGGAAAATGCAGTAGCTTTTTCTGTGTGTTTTCAGATAAATCTTAAGGTGAATAGGGTGATAGATGTGTTTGTGTGAGTGAAAGTCTACTCCTTTTATAGAGTATACAAAGATAGTATAAAAAAGGAATATTCTATCCTAGAATTCTGAAATGCCAGATAGTACAACATCTTTTAAGGGCTGTCTGTCCTTTTCCTACCCAATTTTAGCATTTTCATGCTAAAAATGGGGACAGCTGTCCAGTACTAGAACTTTCTGATATTTTTTTCATTTTAAATTTCCAATTTTACCCTTTTAAGTTCTACTTATTGCAATTTTAACCCAATCTGACCTAAATTTTGATTTTAGATACCTTTTGGAACCTCCTAGAACCATCCAAGTGATTCCAGCCTTGAATTCCATGAATTGTTTTTCAATTGTACCACTAAAAACTTTGTTATTATCTTTTCATTCTTTAAACCGATTAAAACTTAAAAATAAC